GAGATTTGGGGTGGCCAGCTGTGGGGGTGTGAGGCTGGGGGGCGTCAGGTTGGGAGTTGCCAGGTTGTAGCCACGGAGGTTACCTGTGAGTGAAAAGAGGGCAGAAGGGGGATTACAACTGTGGTCGGGTGGTAAAGGTTAGGGTCAGGGGTCAGTGCCCCCAAGCATCATGGGGGCATCACAGATAACTTCAAAGGGGATCCTTCCCACCCAAGAGCAGCCAGAGGGGAAGAGATTGGAGCCAAAGGCCCAGTCCCACCCGAAGCACTGGTGGGAGGGGGCTTTCGGGCTGGTTTTCTGCTCCAGCTTGTGAGGGAAGGGGCCCTTTTCCCTCCTCAAATGCCTCCCAACTCAGTGGCTTGGGCACCCCCAGAAACTCTGCTCACCCTCAGACGTGCTTAGGGTACACTTTCAGGTATATAAAAGATTCAGCACAGGACCCAAAGGGAGAACCAGCAAGATGATTGGTCCCTGGAATAACAAGATAACTCTCCTACCAACACCAGCTACCTGTCATCAAAAGTCTCCTAGAGGGCCTCCCTGGAAGTCCAAGGGCTAAGACTCGACGTTCCCAATGCAGGGGGCCTGTGTTTGATCCCTGGTCAGGGAACTAGATCCCACAGGCCACAACTAAGACTTGGTGCTGCCAAATACATAAATAAATATTTTTTTACAAGGAAATGTCTAAAAAAAAAAAGGAAATGTCTTTTGGTGACCGGGCACTTGCTATAAAAACAGCCTTAATCACACCATCCAGCCACCATCAGGGTAACTATTATCCTCTCTACTGATCATAAAACAGACACAAAGTGAAGGAATGGCTTGTCCAGGATCTCTGGGAGCGGCACTGCTGTCCACTCGCTGGCTCCCGGGTAGGATTCCGGGGGTCCTCTTGACTCCCCTCTCTCTTTACCCTCCCCCATGTGAGCCAACACCATTTCTCTTAACCCTGACTCTTACCCTTCTTCGCAGTCTAGCCTGACTCCCCTTCAGATCTCCACTCCTATCGCCCCTCTTCCTTCCAAAGCCGCTTCATCCCACGTGTGAATTTCAGCCACAGTCTCTGTGCTGTGATCCTTCTAAAAACCACATTTTGACTTTCCCCCTCCCCCTGCTGAACCCTTCCATAGCTTCCTGATGCTCAGGAAGGAAGCCCATTCCTCACTCTGCAAGGTCGGGCCCTGGCCCCCTCGACTCCCTCTCTCGCAGTTCTCTTTCTCTCACACACAGTACTCCAGCCACACGCTCCCATGCATGGGTCTGCCTCAAACAAGCCTGGGTCTGCCTGCCTCTGGGCCTTTGCACATGCTCTTCCTTCTGCTTGGACTGTTCTGCCTCTGCATATTCCAGTCATCCTTCATTCCTCCCTTTAGGTGATTCTCCTTTGAGAGGGCTTCTCAGACCCTCTCTCTGTCCCCAGAAACCCAGCTTCCCTGTTTCCAGGCCAGCTGCACAATTCCTTGTCCGCTTCCCACCGTCCACCACTTAACCACCCGGGGACTCCTTAACGGCAGGCATTTCATCTGACTCAGAGCACTGGGGAAGTATCTGATCCAACAAAGGACAGTTTAAATCCTTACCCCAGTGCTGGGATGGGAAACACAGGGGTTACAGGCATGTATGGGTCAGATGTGCTGGGAGAAATGGTTCAATGCAGGCTCTACAGTACAAGTTCTGTGACCCTGAGCAAATAAGTTTCCCTGTCTTAGCCTCAGTTCCCTCATCTGTAAAATGGGAATAGTAATAGTGCTTGACTCACAATGTTTTATGAGGATTCAGTGAAATATACAAGTGTGCCTGGTATTTACTAAGCATTTTGTGAACATTAACTTAAATACATATACACATATGTGCAGAGAGAACGCCAGCCAGCTCTTAAACAGTGAGATAAAAGATGGCACACTCTAAAAGAGAAATGGACAAAGGACATGGACAAGTCACAAAATGAATTACGAACATTCAGCAGACACATATAAAATGTTCAAGCACACTAAGAAATATAAACTAAAAGCACTCCAAGAAATGTACACTAAAGCATTAGTGATATAGCCTTTTTGCCAAGCAAATTAGACTAGATGTATATATACATATATATTAGAAAAGAGCATAATACCCAGTGTTGCCGTGGGCATGGTGAGACCGGCACTGTCATACGTGGCTGGTGGCATTGCAAACTGGTCCAGTCCTTTGGGAAAGCAATTTGGCAATACTTATCAAGAACCATAAAACACCCATCCTCCCTGACCCAGTCATTCTACTTTGGGGAATCCATTCTAAGAAAATATTCTCAAACACGATATTCATCCCATTATTTAAAGCAGCAAAAAAGAGAAAGAAAAGGGAAAAAAAGAAAAGAGGTAAAAGGAAACAGCTGAGAAAGTTTCAGGACATAAGGGCACACACCTCCAGTGGAAGATTAAACAGCTGTTGAAAATAATCTTTATCGAGACTGTCAAATCATATGGTAAATGAACATGCCATTCTGCTCAGTGCAAAAGAAACAAAATACAGCCTTTCATATATATCAGTAATCACAATCATATATAAATCCCCAAGTCTGTGCCTAAAAAAAAAAAAAAATGGGAGGAAATATACCAACACTTTAATGGGTGTTCTTTTTCTCTAGAAGTGAGTCTACATATGATTTGGATTTTCTTGTCCTCTTTTTAAAATATTTCTTTAGCTCTTCTTTGAAGAGTGTGACTTTTAAAATGAGAAAGAAAAGAGTGAAAAAAAGACTGTAAACATTGTGGTTTCCTGCATGTGGTCTTATCCCTCTATCCATCCCTCTATAACTTATAAGCTGGCTCCCAGGATCGTCCACACCCATGTGGCCATGCGAGGGCTGAAGAGTGACAACATCACATCTTCTGACCTGGCTGCATACCCTGCTGGGAGTCAGGATAGCCTGGTGCCTCAGAACAAAGCTCTGTAGTAAGACCTCTAATGAACACCTAGGCCTCAGTTTCTTCATCTGTAAAATGGGGCCATGAGTGTATCTCCCCTTAGGGTTGTCAGCAGAGTCAAGAAACTGGATTTGGAAGGGGCTCAGCACAGTGCTCAGCCCTAAAGGACCAGTCAGCATGTCACAGCTACCCTGTGGGAGGGGCTAGGTCTGAAGAAGAGCTGGCTCCATGTTTCTAGACCCCTGCCTCCTCCCAGAGTGGCTGAAGTATTGGGAGCAGCATCATGGAAAGAAAAGCTGAAAGACTGCTCTCCATGTGGAGAAACCCAGGTGAGGGCACAGGCTTAATGCAGAGGGCTAGAGAGACCCACTCAGAGATCCAGGGGTCAGGAGGCCCAAGGCTCCATCTAGCTCAGCCACTGTTGATGCTGTGTGACCCAGGGCAAATGACTTCCCTTCTCTGGACCTCAGTGTCCTCATCTGTCAAACAGGATGCAAAGGAGGGTGGTCAAAATAGATCTTTCCATCCATCATATCATCAAATCTCCCAATGTCAGCAAAATATCTGCTGAGTAGTGCCCACAGAGCTAGCACCACAGCCAAAGGCTCGCCTCTGTGATCAGACAGACCTGCATTCAGCTGAGCAACCTAGGGACTTCCACCTCCCCGAGCCTCAGTGTCCTCATCTATAAACTGGGATATTGACAGTAGCTCCCTCTCAGAGTCGCTGTGTGGCTTGGATGAGACTCGGTGCACCTGCAGCCATACCTTGTAACTGCTGCAGAAGCCAAGCTCTTTGCAGCACAGAGCCATTGAGGAGGGAGGTGGGGCTGGTCCCCTGGAGAGTCAGGAGCTGCTGCTGTGGCTGCTGCTGAGGGAGCCCCCTGTGTGTTGAGAGCCGGGGTCAAAGGGTTATGGGGAGAGGCAGACCCTCCCTCTTCTCTGACCCCACTCCCCTCCCTTCTCTGCCCCTCTCTACTGCAGAGGATCCCCTTGGGGTGGGAACTGATGACCTCCAGGGCTCAGACAGGACTGCCCCTGAGCGAAAGGGCTGGAAGGGGGCGAGTCCAAGGCACGGGCCAGAGTCACCCTGCCCTCCAGTGGGGAGCTCACCTGCTGACGGTCATGGGCAGTGGGGCCTGCGGTGGGGACTGCTGGAGCAGCTGCTGGAGCTGCAGCAACTGCTGCTGTTGAAGCTGCTGCTGCTGGAGCTGCTGGAACGGCTGCTGCTGGTTGAACATGGTGGCTGCGAGAAGGGAGGGAGTCAGGCCGGAGGGATCCCGGTCGCCCAGCCTCAGCCCGCGGCTCTCGCGCGCTGCCGACTGAGCTTCACGGCTACTCTCCCGGTCCAGCCCAGAGCGCGCCACGCGTGCGCTCCGTCCCTTCAATACCCCTCCAATCCCACCAGCCTCGAGGTTTAACCACCCTCCCGCCAACTGCCTCCAAATCTTCCCAACAGTTCCTCCTCCAAACGCCCAATCCCGCCCTCCGTCTCTCCACTCTCCCCGCTCCGGTCCCTCCAGGAGCGGCGCCTGACACTGATACACCTCCCACCCCGCCCTTCGGCCTTTCTTTAGGCCAATCACCTACCGAACAAGCCAAGCCCCCGGCCACTCACACCCCTCTGATGCTCCCACCCTGTCCCGGGTGCGCGCGTTCGGTCAATAACATCACCCCCACCCCGCTGCCACCTTTGACTGTCTTCCGCGAGCAAAGTAAGAGGAAGGCTTCCCTCCACTCTAACCGCCCCGCCCCCATTCCACCAGCCTCTTCCTCTACAGACAGATCCAGCATCACATCCAAATGCGGTGTCCCCACCTGCCCACGAAGCCCGCAGTCTCCATCCGAGTGGCCCCTGGGTCCTCGGCCGTCCCCCCGAGCCGTGCCCGACCCGCGCACGCCGTCCCCGACCCGCGCACTTCGTCCCCGCCCGGGTAACCTCACTGCCACCTCCCCTCACCCCCTCCGCCGTCCCATAGCCCTCACCGGCGGGGCGGGGTGGGCCGGGCCGGGCCGGGCCGCTCCGGCTCGCGGCTTCGTGGGCCCCCGAGTCTCCCCGTGGCTCCGCCCCGTCCTGTCCACTCGGAAGGTCGGTATGCGGGCCGGGCCCGGGCAGCGCCCCCTGGAGGACGGGAGGTCCAGGTCACGCTGCGGGGACGGCGGTGCGGAGTGGGGGGTGGAGGTAGGGGGTGGGGGGTGGGGGAGACTGCTCACCCAGCAACGCGGCCGGCGGCGGGAGTGGTTCCCGGCTGCGAGCGGGCGCCGGGCACCTAGCAGACCCTCCGCTCCGCATCCTCCGCATCAGGAAGGGGCGGCTCTGAACCCCAGGTCCGTCTGTCGCCCAGAAGGGGGTCTGTCGTCTGGCAGGGACTTGGCGGGGGGCTTTGAGGAGGACCTTCCCCAACCGACTTCCCCGAGGACCCCACTGTCCCGCGATCCCGGGGACCCCGCGTGGGGCTGGGAGTGGGAGGGGGTGAGGAGCCACCCGCTGTACATTCGGGGACCGAGACCCAGCGAGGGGACGCCCCCGGCACAAGAATTTGCCCTAGAAGAGGTGGTGGGCCGGGGAGGGGTGGGGGTGGAGGCTCGGTTTGAAAGTGTTTTTTTGTATTTTCTCGGGTTTGGCGGCGGAGCCGGGGAGGAGGACAGAGTTCAAAGATTTAAAAAAACGGCGCTCATCGTCCTGCTCTCAAGGACCCTTTAATTTTGCCTTTGTCCGGTGTCCCGGTGCCTCGCTCCTGGTCCCCACACTGGGTCACAAACTGTGTGCGGTTACTCGGGAGCGATCCCTTTTCCCTTTTCCGTAACGCAAAGCCGACCACGGCTGTAACAGCCCAGGGCAATGCGCTCGTTTTGTATCCGGCGCCAACTGTGTGCCGCGCAGCTCACGCGGTGGCGCAAGGGCCCGAGGTCGGCCCAGCGGGGGCCCGAGGTCGGCCCAGCGGAGACCCGAGGGTCAACCAGTCATCGCAATCATGTGGCCAGCGCTGCCCTAAAGCTAGGGTCCCGCGGTACTACAGCCCCTGGGGCGGCCGCACAGGTGCCTAAACTCGGCCTGGATTTAGGCGCCAACGGGACTGGACGTGGGTGGAACTAAGGAGATGTCCCGCCTAAGGGTGGAAGGGCGGCTGGGCGCTGCGGGCTTTGAAGCAGAGCCTGGTTTTTTATATCTGAAGGGCAGGAAGCAACAGCGAAGTGTGTGACGGCATCACATCCACCCAGATTCGGACACGGATCGAGATCCCCCGTTTTTCCAACCAAGCAGATCTCAGCGCTAGCCAGCATTGAATTGGGGCTCCTCTGCCTCCTGGCTAAGCGACCCTGGCAGACGCAGGAGTCCTCTCTAAGCCTGTTTCTAACTCTGTAAAATGAGTGCCCCCTCCCAGGGTGTGTGTGTGTGTTTGTGTTTGTGTGTGTGTGTGTGTGTGTGTGTGTGTGTGATATTACATAATGTTTTGCACTGGCATCTCGCACAGGGTGAGCTTAGCAAATTGCCAAAATTAAAAATATATATAATTCAGTTGCTCAGTCCTGTCTGACTCTTTGGGACCCCATGGACTGCAGCATGGCCAGGCCTCCCTGTCCATCACCAACCCCCAGAGTTTACTCAGACTAATGTCCATTGAGTCGGTGATGCCATCCAACCATCTCATCCTCTGTTGTCCCCTTCTCCTCCTGCCTTCAATCTTTCCCAGCATCAGGGTCTTTTCAAATGAGTCAGTTCTTCGCATCAGGTAGCCAAAGGATTGGAGTTTCAGCTTCAGCATCAGTCCTTCCAATGAATATTTAGGGCTGATTTCCTTTAGGATGGGCTGTTTGGATCTCCTTGCCATCCAAGGGACTCTCAGGGGTCTTCTCCAACACCACAGTTGAAAAATATATATATAAACCTGAAACTAATGCTCATGTTGGTGAAAATAGGGATGCCAAAACTGGCTTCTTGTGTTGGTTCATCTTTCTGGAAAGTAATCTGCAAATTATCTATCAAGACTCTTGAATGTGTTCTGCCCCTTGACCTGGTAACCCCACTTGTAGGAATCTAGCCCAAGAAAATAATCAGAAACAAGTCTTTTTAAAAGCCAGCAGGTGCATAGATACATCTATAATAGTGGTCCAGGAAATAATCAACTTTAGAGAATAGCTAAATAAATCATAGTGTCTGCCTCTTAAGGAATAGCACATAGCCTTCAGAAATTATGTCTTCAAAGGATATTTAAACACGATATGGTATGACATGAACTCAGCAGGTTACAAAACTGCATGCACATTATGATCCCAGTTTTTGGAAAGAATAAATGTGTGTAGTGGGTTCATGGGGGCGGAGATTCACTTTCCTTTAAAAAAAATAATTTGCTATGATCCGTTTGGATGACTTTCTCATGAGGAGGATGTGGACATTTTTTGGAATGTATATGACCTTGTGCTGCCTCCTTGGAAATCAGAGAATGCTCTGAGGACATTGTTTGGGGCTAAACTCATGTTAATTGCTTTTTTTTTTCACTGAACATCAGGGCATGTGGGATCTAAGTTCCCAGACCCGCTCCAGTGGAAGCACTGATTCTTAATCACTGTACTGCCAGGGGAGTCCCTCATGTTAATTCCTTTAAATCAACCCCTTGCAAGCAAAGCCCCCCAATGAAGTATGTTCAGAGGGAGAAGAGAGGCCTCATCTCTGCATCCCAAATGAGGTCTGAGGATGTAGCATCACCTGGAGGCCTCATTCTTGCCTCCACATTGAGATGCACCTTCACCGTGAAATAGACTTATACTCAGATGACACCATGTCACCTGTCCAGGAATCTGTCTCTTCTCATTATGATATCATATCCTGTGATTATTATGGTGGTGGTGGTGTTGCTAAGTCATGTCTGACTCTTGTGACCTCATGGACTGTAGCCTGCCAGGCTCCTCTGTCCATGGAGTCTCCAGGCAAGAAGCTGTCATCCACCTGTGCGTTTACCTGCTACTAAGTGAGCTGAGGGGAACAGAGAACAGAGGTAAGGAGTGGCAGGGTGGGCAGGCCCTTGTTGCTGCTCCTGCCCTTCAGAGTGACCTGGGGCAGGACCCCACCCTACCTGGGATCTGAGTGTGGCCATCTCTGCCGGACAGGACCTAGTGTGTAACAGGCTCGCCCAGCCCCCACCCCGTACTTACCAGCTTCTGCCACAGTGGCGACCTTCTGTCCCCAGAGGAACCGAATCTCCCTCACCATCTCCCCTCTCCTCGAACTCATCACCAGGCTGATTCCTGTCCAGTCTTTGCTGCTCCATTCAAACATCACCTTCTTAGGAGGCCTTTCTTTTTTTTAACTCCTTTTAAAAATGTTTATTTATTTTCGGCTATTCTGAGTCCTTGTTTCTGTGCAGGCTTTTCTGCAGTTGCAGCAAGCGGGGGCTCCTCTCTAGATGTGATACTCGGGCTTCTCATTGCAGTGACCTCTCTTGCTGTAGAACACACATTCCAGGGTTCGTGGGCTTTAGGAGTTGTGGCTCCTGGGCTCTAGAGCACACAGGCTCAATAGTTGAGCACACTGGCTTAGCCGCTCTGCAGCATGTGGGATCTTGCAGGATCGAACCCATGTCTCCTGCCCTGGCAGGCTGATTCTTTACCACTGAGCCACCAGGGAAGCCCAAGAGGCCTTTCTTGATTGTCAGGTACACCCTCAAAGCTCTCTGTCCACATGGGGAATAACTGGACAATCTAGGGCCCACTGGGGCCTGAGATTCTCACAAGCTGAGCCATCCAGGGATAGAGTTGGCCCCCAATCCATGCCTCTAGACCTAGCTCTGTCTCTCCTGGACAAATCCTGGTGTGTCTACAATCCTTTAACCTTCCCACCAAGAGGTGACTGCCCAGAACTTCCCTGTTGGCCAAGTGGCTAAGACTCCACATTCCCAATGCAGGGAGTCCAGGTTCAATCCCTTCTCGGGGAACTAGATCCCACATGCTGCAACTCAGAGTTCATATGCTGCAACTAAAGATCTCTCATACCACAACTAAGGCCTGGCACTGCTAAATGAATAAAATAAAATTTAAAAAAGAGAGATGACATCCTTTGCTACCTTCATGAGGTTGAAGTTTCTTCAGACAGTACCGTGGTAATGATGATTATAATCACACTAATCGTGGCTCTAATTATTCACTATTTCAGGCACTGTTCTCATATTTTCTCTGAATTATTACATCACTGAACCCGCCTCATATAATCCTATGAGGTAGTTAATAGTCTTATCCCCTTTTTGCAGATGCAGAAACTGAGGGCTAGGTAGGTAAAATGACTTGTCCAAGGTCACTGGGTTAGACAGTGGTTGGGGTGGGATTTGAACACTGGGCAGTCCAGCAACAGAACTGTGCCCTTGATCCTCAGTACACAAGAGTATCGGCCTTGTTCCAGGCTTATGGGGAGCTCCTCGCTGTAAGATGGGGCAATGCAAGCACAGATGCCTGGACCACTGGTGCCCCAAAGCCCCTGGGGAATCTTGGTGCCCAGCCCCCAGTCACACAGAGAAGGGCACCATGTGGGCGCCCAGCCTGGCCCAGCTGGCTTCAGCAGTGACCTTGCCCAGCACAGCTATGTGTCTTGGCTTCTTCATCCACCTGGACTACTTTCTTGTCTTTCTCTCCCCCGTCATCGCATTCTAGGAGGGTTCAGCTCCTGCATCTTGTTAACCTCTTCATCCCCTTATGTCTTGCTTGAGGTCTGGTATGAAGTACCTGATCAATACCTATTGAAGAGGGACTTTCTTGGTGGTCAGTGGCTAAGACTCCAAGCTCCCAATTCAGGAGCCCAGGCTTGATCCCCGATCAGGGAACTAGATCCCACATGCCACAACTAAAGATCCTGAACGCAGCAACTAAAACAAAAAAGATCACACCTGCAACAGAGATTGAAGACCCCATGTGCCACAACTGAGACCTGGCACAGCCAAACACATAAGAAAACATTTAAAAAAAAAAAACTGTTGAAGAATGAATGAATCCACAGGGCCAGACTCGGAGCAGACTTCATGACTAAATATAATGGCTTGGCTCAAGTGCTGCATAATAAAGCCATTGTGCAGTTCAACACAATCAGCATTTATTGAGCACCTGCTGTATGCCCAACAAAAACCCTATCAGAAGGGGCTAGCGTTTTATTTCATGTGCATTAAAAGTATGCAGATTTAAAAAAATGTATGCAGATTACAATAGCTGGTGCAGTATAGGATATAAACATGGAAGCCCGGAGTCTCACCAAGCTTCATTCACATCTTCATGCCATCATTTTCTGGCTTTGTGCCTTCAGCCACATCCCTCTTTGCACCTCAGTTGCTTCATCTGTCAAGGAGAACTAATAGGACCTCCTCCCCACTCCTGAGGATTGACTTTCTCAGCACAGTAATCTGGCCCAGGGAGAAATGCCCAATGAGTGTTTCTGCTGCTGATCTGCCAGAACAGGTGGTGGTTACAGCTTCAAGGTCTCCAGAGAGAATTCTCCCTCGTTAGTGCTCAAAGTAGAGAGTCTAAGCCATTTCTAAGATTCTCATTTAACTCATTGGTTTTTGGGACCCCCAGCTTCTCAGCACCTGGGAGAACCATCTTCAGTATCCCTCCTTTGGTCCTCACCAAGCCCTGTGGGAATGACTCGTGCGTGTGTGTGTGTGTGTGTGTGTGCTCAGTCACTCAGTTGTGTCCGACTCTTGTGACCCCATGGACTGTAGCTCTGCCAGATTCCTCTGTCCATGGGATTTCCCAGGCAAGAATCCTGGAGTGGGTTGCCATTTCCTCCTATAGGGGATCTTCCCGACCCAGGGATCGAACCTTTGTCTCCTGCATCTTCTGCATTGGCAGGAGGTTTCCTTACCACTGAGCTGCCCGGGAAGCCCCACGGGAATGAGGCCAGTGTCGATATCAGGTTCATTTCCTTTCTGATTCCACCTTTGCTTATGCTGGTTCCTCTGCCCAGAACATCAACCCTTCTCCACACACACACCACCAGATGGCATTGTATTGATCCATTCTTCAAGCCCAGCACAATCATTTTTACCAAACCAGAGAACAAAACCAAAGCACTACTAAACAGTGGGAAACTATGCAGCTGCGACCAAGGAACTTGACCACTCTGTTCTTACACTGAGAGACCTCAAAGACTTACTGTTGCTAAAAAACAAGTTGTATATAATAATATATATTAGAGCTTCTCCAGCCCTGATGTGCACAGGAATGTCCGGGGCTCTTGATTCTTGTTAAATGCAGGTTGTGATCCAGCAGGTCACGAGTGAGGCATGAGATTGTGTATTTCCGACCAACTCAGGGTGATACCCAGGCTGCTCATCTGGCATGGGTGATTCAGCAAGACAGGATTTATGGTATGATTCCATTTCTGTAAAAAACAAAATGAATATACATGGGATAAGCCAGGGAATAAACTCTAAATAGTGGTTATCTCTGGGTGGAAGGATGACCAGAAGTTTTCAAATACTGTGTAAAGTCTGATTTTTACAATACATTTCTCTACTGTAATTAGGAAAAACAAACCAGCCACGATGGCGCCCCTCTAGGCAGACATCTGTAACTGGCACCCTCTAACCAAATGAATGGCACCAATCCAGGCTTCATCTCTGCCCTCTCTGGTTCTCAGAACATAACAACAGGCTGGCTAGGAGCAGCCACATAAGATGTGCAGTTCCACACCCACATCCAGTTCTCTGGAAGGTTGTGATCATCAGCATCCTCAAAGCAGTGGTTTAATAAGGGTTGCCTGAGCCTCAGACTGGGGCCATGCCCTTCACTGGCATTCCAGTCTATTATCCCCATGACCCAGATTAGATCACTGAGGCTCAAAGATATGGAGGGACCTGGATCACACAGCTTATCTAAGACCCAGGTCAGGCTCTTGGAATGGGATCCACTTATTCCTCTCTGCCCAGATGTTCCCCAGATGTCCACATGGGTTACTCCCATACTTCCTTCAGGTCTGCTCAAATTTTTACCTTACCAGAATCCTCCTCCAACCACTGTATGCAAAACAGCAACACAGTCCCCACCTCCAACTTCTCCAGCTTTCTTGTCTTCCAAAGCACTCATGACTATCTGACAGTCATATTTATTGGCTCATTTGTACTCTGTCCTTCTTTTTCTACTAGACTACAAGCCACATGAAGGTAAAGGCTTCATCCATTTTGCTCCCTGCTTTATCTCTGAGGCCTAGCAAAGTTTCTGGTTTAATAAATATGTATTAAATGAGTGAATGAACCACAGTCTCCAATTTACAGACTACTGATCTCCCAGCAGTGGCCCCCACTCTGTTCGCAGACGGTGACCTAATGATCCCCAGTAGAACAGTGTTGTTGCTGTCCAGTCTCTAAATCATGTCCAACTCTTTGCAACCTCATGGACTGTAGCTCGCCAGGCTCCTCTGTTCTCCAGGGTTCTCTCTCTGTTCTCTCTTTCTTAGCCTCCTTGTGGGGAGTCCCAGTTAGGTTCTTTAAATGCAGAGGTGGACAGCTTGGCTTGGGAACCCATGGTCTTTCCATGTGAAAAAAATAAATAGGGTAGGGTTTCAAGAGTTCTGGATTCGAGCCCTACTGTTTTACCACCACCCTGATGGTTTGGGAAGAAGGCTTCACTTACCAGGACAAGACGTTCCAACTGTCCCAAGAAGGCCCTTCCAAGTGTCAGGGCCTTTGTACCTGCTGTTCATTTGGCCTGGCTAGCTGCTTCTCACTATTAAGGTCTCTTCTCAACTGTCACCTCCACAGAGAACCCTTCTAACCTGCCAGGCTAAAAAGAACTCTTCATATGCTATGTTTGTTTCTCGCATCACTATTAGTGTACACTATATTCACTTGTACTGTTTCATTTATCTGTTCATTCTTTTTTTTTAATCTGTTTATTCATTTACTGTCTGTCTTCACTGTAAGATCTATGAGGGTAGAGACCTGCTCTGTCTTGTTTACTGCTATATCTCCAGCGCCCAGAACAGGGTATGACTTACAGAACCTGTTCAGTAAATATTTGTTGAATTAATGCTCTCTATCTTTTCCTTCTAGAAACAGGGAGATTGAGGCCCAAAGGCGTGAAGGGAAATGCTGGAGATAAATTAGTGCTACAACCTAAAGTAGAAGGCAATGAAGCCGAGTGGAACTGAAGGTCAGAAGACTATGACCTTGGAGGAGGCCCATGCCTCCAAGCCTCAGTTTCCCCATTTGTAAGAGGGAGTGAGTCAGCCACGACTACTCTCCAAGGGGTCTGGTACTAAGAGTACCTGGTACCTAGGAGACCTTGCCCGTTTCCAGGAAAGATAACGTGCGGTGCAGCATCTGTGCCTCCCCCAAACACGGCTCGAGCGCCCCCAAAAGCCGCAGAAGTTGAAAACTACAGTCCCCATAGTGCCACGGGCGGCGCCTGCGCACGGCTGCCGATCCACGGCGCTGCGGGCGCCCCCTCGCGGCACCCTCTAGCGGCACCCTGGCGCAGCTCGGCGCTCCGATCCCCGAGGGGCGGGGGGATCCACGGCGCAGAAAAGCGTCTGAGCGCGCTGCTGCATCCGCGGAGCCGAAGCCGGGAGCCCAAGCGGCGGCCGGATCGCAGCCCGCTGGGCCAGTCGCAGCCATGGGCAACCGTGGCATGGAGGATCTCATCCCACTGGTCAACCGGCTGCAGGATGCCTTCTCCGCCATCGGCCAGAACGCGGACCTCGACCTGCCGCAGATCGCCGTGGTGGGCGGCCAGAGCGCCGGCAAGAGCTCGGTGCTCGAGAATTTCGTAGGCAGGTAGGAAGCGGCGCGCCCCTGGAACGCGGACTCCCCGCGCCCGGGTCCTCCGGGTCTCGGGACCCGGCCCCGACGGCGCCGCGACCTCGCAGCCCCTGGCGCTGCACCGCGAATGGCGCGGGGCCCCCGCCCCCACCTCCAGCCAGTAGGAGGAGGCGGCCCTCCCCCGCCACGACAGCCCCTCGGGGGCGCAGCGCCCCCCACCCCCCTCACCCTCGCTGGGCCGCAAACGGCAAGCCTGCGGCCGCGGGCTCACGCCCCCCTCCTCTGCTCCATCCTTTAGGAAGACAGCAGACCCGGGCAAAGGGCTGTCCCCCCCCCCATACCCACTATGGGCACCGAGGGGCTTGCATGACTCCCCTCGGTTCTGGGGGTGGTCTCTTGAAGCGGGCAGCACCCTGGGGCCGTGCCCCCAGGCTCTATGGACAGCTCCCCCTCCTCTCATAGGGATTCCTGGACTGCGGTGGGGGGACACCCCTCCCGTCGCCCCTGGGAGAGGACATGGCCCCTTGGGCATCGGGGACCAGATACAGTCTCCTCCTTCACACACACCTCTGCGGCTCCGGCCGCCATCCATGCGCAGCGCGGAAGAGGGGGGAGGCGCGACTGCAGGATGAGGAAGAGGGGGTGGGGGGAGCCAGCGCCTCTGAGCCTTCCCGGAGCCGCCGGCCCCTTGCCCTGCCGCCGCCCCTGCGGGGTGGGGGGGGGGGGTGGGGGGCCGCCTGTCAGTGTCGTCCTCCCCTTGGCCTGGCAGAGGGATTGGAATGGAGGGAGAAGGCGGTGGAGGACAGAGATGACTAAGACAGGGAGGGAGGCAGGCTGGCGGGGAGGGGTGGGGGCAGCCATTTGCACGACCTAATCCCCCTCCTGCCTCGGATCCCACAAGGCGCCGGGAGGGCCAGGTGGCAAGGAGTCAGGGGCAACCACCAAGACAAAGAGCCCTGGTTTAGGGAGGCCAGCAGGGTCGTGACCACCCCCCAGCCTCTCCCCCAAGAAGGGGAGACAGAGATGGGCTTTCTGGGGGCTGAGAAGGAGAGAGAGGCGGGCCCTCTCGCGGGGGGCTGGAGGCGGAGTGGTGGGGCTGGGCAGACTGAGGGAGGAGGCAAGAGAATTGACACTGACCTCCCCACTCTGTCATCTGCCTCCCTCACCTCTTTCAGAAACCCTAGCTTTCTTCCAATGACCTTCATGGGTATAGAAGCGGACGACCTGTGTGAGAGAGGGAGGCAGGCAGAGAGGGTTTCCTCCTCCCCCCATCCCAGGGAGGACAGTTCTGGGCTGAGACATCCTGGATCCCAAGGCAGGTTCTGCTGTGAAACCTCCAGCGAGTCACTGCCCTGTCTCAGCCTCGGTTTCCCCATCTCTAACATGGGCAGTTAGACTGGACGGTCGTCCCCGCCCCTCAAATGACCTGGGAAGCCCAGTGTCAGCCTCAGGGGTGAGAGAGAAGGATACTGCCTGGAGCGATATATCTGTGGGACGCGGGAGAGCCACTGTGGGGGCGGCCGGATCCATCTGCTCAGCAGAGGGGGGACGCCGTCTGTCTCCCAGGGAAGGGCGTCCAGAGAACCCCTCTCCTGCTCATGTGACCCCCCCCCCCACCCAGAGCAGAAGAGACGCAGACAAGAGACACAGAGATGGTCCCTGTCCCCTAGCCCCCGAGGCCCTCATGCTTCAAATGACAGTCGTGGACATCCTGCCACGGTTTTCAGGGTACAAACCGTAGGTCTGCCTTTCCCTCTGCTCACGCGTGCTCTGTGCCTTCTGCGTGCTCTGGACAGGGGGCACCGGGGAGCAGCTGACCTCAGCCACCATCTGCCGGGCCCTTCCCCTGTGCCCCCTGCCAGCCTATATGGGACGGGTCACAAGAGCCCCGTGAGGTGGGCACTGTGATGACCACCCTGCAGCGGAGGAAACTGAGACGCTGAGGTTAGAGGCCCTATCCAAGGTCACAGGGCCAAGAAGGACCGCAGCTGGCAGACTCCAACCTGGGGCCTGCACTACCTCTCAGAGCCCTACTCAGCGCGGAGCACAGGCACGTGCAGGTGTATGGGCCCCCAGGTTCCCCATCCGAGGAATGGGCCCACTGACAGCTGCTGCCCTGCCTTCCGGAGACGTGGGTGTGGGGCTCCAGCGAGTTCAGGGTGTAAAAGCCCCCTTTTACAGACACGTGGAAGGGAGATACCGATATTTAGTTAGGTTTGGGGCCTGCATGGGCCAGAAGACCTAGCCGCTGCCCTCTCGGAGTCCACCATCCAGCAGAGAGAGGTACCAGTAGACAGCACAGCAGGCCAGCCTGGCCACAGCTGACTTCGCAACTGTTAGCTTGTCGAGGGATCCAGTGAGATTCGGACTCTGCCCCCAGAGGCCTAGACCCTCTCGCTGCCCTCCACCATCCAATAGCCTGTGACTGCAGCCCCACAGGAGGATACACAGGGTGTCCAGGCGCAGGTCTGGGGCAGGGTAGGGGCATGGCCTGCTCTCCACCCTGGGCTGGCTCCCCAGACCTGTATGCATGGTAACAGCCACTCTGTCTCCTGAGGTTTCCCGGGAGTCAACCCCCCATGGAGAGGAAGTGGAAAATATATCAGAGGAAGCAGAGGCTGCTCCAGGCTTCCGGGCACCCAAGAGGGCCCTGTTGTAATCTCTGTAGTGGAGGTGGCCCAGGCAGCTGCCCAGGACCCTGTCAGGGCTGCTCTGGGTCTATGCTTTTTCTTTGTCTCCCTTTTACAGAAAGGAAGACTAAGGCTGATTCATTCAGGCGTCCAGCAGATGGACGTGAAGAAGAAAACGGGGGGCCATGGTCAATGCTGAGAGGGAAAAGGGCCCTTTCCACAGGGAGGTCAGAGAAGGTGTCTAGGAGTCCATGGCATCTGAGATGAGAACTGAGGGACAGGAAGTCATGTGACTATTTGGGGAGAAGCATTCTAAGCTGGGGGAACATCGCATGCAAAGGCCCTGGGGCAGCAACGAATTTGGTATCTTTGAAGAACAGAAAGGAAGCACTGTGGCTGGTGTTTGGTGAGCAAGGTGGACACAGCATGGAAGAGGTAGGCAGGGGCCTCAGATTAAGCTGGAGAACTATGTTTGTTTTTATTATTATCAGAAGCTCTTAAGCAGTGGAATGACTTGAGCTGCTTCCAGCAAGTGTGTGACTTGGGAAGGTGGGGACAGGAAACAGGTGCGGAGGCTGCTGCGGTGGGCACAGGTGGCCTGGACCAGGTCTTTAGCAGAGAGAAGGGGAGAATGGTGGGGTTCAGGATGTATTTTGGAGGACAGTCCCACAAAACCTGCTGGGGGATGGGATGTAGACGGTGAAGAAAGAAGAATCCAGGATGACTTTAGCACCTGTGACCCTGGTGGGTGTTGGTACCATTAACGGAGTCTGGGAGGAGCAGGCTGGGGGTCGGCGGGTAAGATCAGGAGTTTGGTTTTGAACTCGTTGAGTCTGAGATGTCAGGTGGGCAGTGTGGTGATGCAAGTCGGAAGCTCAGAGGGAAGGCGGGCTGGAAATATAAATTTGGAAGAGATGGGATGTCAACTCGTGAGCATAGATGAGATCATCTCAGTGGTGAGCACAGACAGCGGAGTGTGCGTGGGCCCCCGGACACCCCAGCCCTTTGTGAACAGATGTCTGGTGCCCCAGGTTACCCTTCGTCTGCCCCCAGATGCATGCCCCCTCCCCACTATACCCATCTGGCACCAAGTCAGGTGTCCTGGGACAGGCTTCCAGGCTCCGGCACCCCTGGCCTCACTCACTCTGAGGCCCAGGCGTGCTGACTGTCGGGCACTGCCCATCTTCCCTCCTGTTTGGCTCCCCCGGGAGGCCAGGGCTGGCAGGAGTGTGGCAGAGGGGCTGAGTGCTCAGGTTCTGGAATCAGACCTGAGTTTGCAGCTCAGCTCTGGTACTTACACGCTGGGCAAACTTGGGCATGTTTCTTAAACCCTGCCCAGCTGCTATTTCCTCATCTGTAAAATGGGGATAATAATAGCACCTCCATCACGGGACTGTGGCGAGTGTTGACATCATGCCCGTGAAGCACTCAGGGTCAGGTCTGGCCCAGAGGACGTGCCCATTCTGTTCCTGCCTGGGCATAGGTACCAGCTGGGAGGAGGGGCAAGGATGCAGGTGGGGCAGGGAGCCTGGTGAGTGAGCCTCTGCCCAGAGCCCAAAGGGCAGCCTGGGGGATAGGGTTTTGGTTTCCTCTGCTGACTCTGTCTACCCCAGCTCAGGCTCACTGAGTTGTTGGTCAGTCACTAAGTCGTGTCTAACTCTTTGCAACCCCATGGACTGACTGTAGCCCGCCAGGCTCCTCCGTCTATGGGATTTCCCAGGCAAGAATACTGGAGTGGGTTGCCATTTCCTTCTCCAGGGGATCTTCCCTATCCAGAGATCAAACCAGCATCTCCTGCGGCTCCTGTACTGGCAGGCAGAGTCTTTTCCCCTGAGCCACCTGGGAAGCCTTTTGCTCAGGCTCCCTGCCTCCTACCAATCCCCTTTCTCTGCATTCTGGTCCCAGCACAGACCTTATGCCAGTTTCTGGCCTCTGAGAGCCCTTCTGTTAGTCAGCCCCAGCCCCTGCCATGGGGGACAGACCATTCTCCACTAGTAAGATCTGTCTCTTCCTCTGAACACTTCAGGCTACATCCCATTTCCCAGATTCAGAGACTGAGGCCAAAGAGGATTAGGGCATAATTGAAACATCAAAAGTAGAGAGGCGGAGGGAACTGACATCTCCTTGGCACTTGCAGTGCGCCAGGCCCTAAGGATAGAACTGTGAACAAGCCAGACCCATCCCTGTTCTCGGGGGACTCACAGCTGAGTGGGACAGACAGAGGCTACATTACACAAAGAGCTCTTATGTTGTGGATTTGAAGAAGGGTACCAGGACCCTAAGGTTGTAGGGAGCAGGAGTCGTCAGGGGGCCAGAGAAGGCATCTGAGCGTTTAGGTCTGGGCCTGAGCGAAAATAGGACTTGGTCGGGCAAAGGAGTGAACCA